GATCTCAGGCCTTGGTGTCGGGGAGAACAGCACCAGCCTCCGGCGGCGGCCTTCAGGGTTATCAGCCGGCCGCCCCGTCGTCGGATGGGAGAGGTAGAGAGGACCCGTCGCAGAGATCACAGCAGCGGCAACAAGCTCACGCTCAACCTCGCGGCCGATCCATGAGCAGCGACAGCCCGGAGCGGCGAGGGGGCCCCGCGAGTGGGACCGCAGGGGGGGGGGCAGCAGAACGGCACGTCGGGGGGGGTGGGGAGGCTCCCGCCCACAAGCGGCAGCGAAGCAAGTCTCGGAGCGGCAGGCTGGTGTCTCAGCTCAGGGGCATCGTCGGGGCCGGGAAGGGCAAGTCCGCGCGGAGGGGCGGGGGCTCCGGCGCGTTGGTGATGAACGGCAGGGGGGGGCACTCCCTCAGCGACGACGACGAGGAAGACTCGTTCGAGGACGAGGAATGGGACGTCCGAGAGCAGCAGCATACCGCGGGCAACGGCAACGCTCACGGCAACGGCGGCGGTGGCAGCGGCAGCGGGGGGGTGGTGACAGCGGCGTCTCGGGCGGCCCAGCTGGTAGAGGCGCGAGAAGCTTCCCGGGGACATCGGCGAGTGTCGTCCGCCACGGCGACTATGGGAGTGCCGATCGGAAACAACACCAACTTGGAGAACCGGAGATCGCCACCGGGGTCCATGTCTAATCTTAGAGCGGCGGCGGAGCAGCAGCAGCAGCAGCAGCAGGCGACGGGGTCGCGATTGCCGCGGGTCCCGCCAGCGATGCCGCTAAGCGGCAGCAGGGGCGCGGGTGTCGGCAGGGGCGCCAGCGGGAGAGGGTCCGCGCTGAAGCCTCCAGCGCCGCGGAATTCGGAGTGATGTTTGTTGGTGTTTTGGTTTTGGGTGCAGAGGTAGGGAGGTCTGTTTTTTGAAGTAGCGACAGTTTTTCCTCAGGTTTTTAGTACGAAGGAAGGAGCGAGCCGAGTGCTGGAGGAGGGGGTGTAAAGGCGTGGTATTTGTCGCAGGGGAGGCGAATCGGGGGGTCGGAGAGGTAAGGTTGGCTTTAAAGTTTTTTGTGTTTGGTGTGGGAGTAATAGGGTTCAGCAGCATCACAGCGCCGTTCATGTCTCTTGGTTCGCGTGGTGGTTTTAATCCCGGATAGCTAGTCAGCTATGTTTACAGTCACGTGATAACTGCTGCGGTGTACCAGTAGTCTGCAGCATCTGTTGGGGGTATAACGATAGCTATTAGGGTCGATCGAGATTAATTTCAGATGGCCGGAGAGAAAGAGAGTTCTTTCATGTGTTGCATCTCGTTTTGTCCGGCCTCCGTTTACTACGTTCGACCATCATGATCATCATCATCGCGTGTGTGTGTATCGTCTTTTCTACTTTTTCCTTTTTTTGTGGTGAAGAATGCATGATTAGTTTCTCGTCGGTCTTCTTTCTTCTTTCCTCGCTGCCTTTTAGTGCTCTGTGTTCCTGGTTGTGTACCGTGCGATTTGATGCACGGACGTCGCTGCTCCTCGCCGATAGCTTCTAAATACCGCAACCTTACGTGCAGCGTGTCCCCATGGATCGGTCGTATATAGATAGTTTGTTTGCCGCGGCGATTCAGGCCACGATTATTGTGTGTTTTTGTCTATGCTACTACTGTACTACGCCACTGGAGGGGTAATTTGTCGTTTGTTACGGGATAATCTTGGATGTTTTGTTTTTTTCCGTACTCTCCGCTCCCGGGGGGGGGGGGGGGCGGGGGCCAACCCCAGGAAAGACCAAAAAAATGGAGCTTTCCTTCCTTACCCCCTTTTTGTCCCGACAAACACCACCCCCAGCCACTTCCCGGACGGGGTCCCCTCTTTCTGTCGCCAGGGGGGCTGCTTTTTACTGAAAAAAATTCTCATCCCGCCTCACACCCCTAATTGTTCCCTTTCGCCTGCCTGCCCCGGGCCTGTGGGGTTAAACGGATCTTCC